AACATTTAGTCCAACTCTCATACACTGAGGGGGAAGGGGGATTTTTTATCTTTTTACAAATTTGATCACATGTTTTTCGGTTTTTGGCCGCTGCTCCGTGGAAGAAGGTACCTATGTAAATTTAAACGATTCCGAGCTTTCAGGGTACAATCGCGCGTTAGTTCCATGATTCCATTGCAAACCGCAGATGTTGAGACGCCTTGTCATATAAAGTACGCAAGGTAGGACTTCCATTTTTTTATAACGGCTGATCACAGATCCTTTTTTGGAGTTACCCCGAACGTCAAATTCTCAATTTGTTTACAAATACGACGGAGGTACCTTTGTTTTCTGGGCACTGGTATGATAGACGTCTAAAAAAGGCATTTCTCTTTAGTATGTAAATACCTCACATTATTAAGTTGGTGCGCAACTTTCTAAATAAAAGATATATTTTTCTTCATCCCGGCGACAGGCAAAGAAAAAAAGGATGCTCAATCAATGGGAAAAATTATGGAACCACGCAGCGGTTATATACCAAGTGGACTCAACAGTTGGTAAGTTTTCATTCAACGTCGATCAACCGTTTTCTAGACTAAAATTAGATCTACACTCATGAAATTGAGATGAAAACGTGACTTCATATGAGGAGGTAAAGCCGGTAAGATTCTATAAAAAAAGTGACTGATTGATGATTTGCTCAGGGGCTTACTATGGCTGTCGTATGTAGTCAAAAATCGCCGGCAATTTACGAGTAGAATGCGTGTCAACTCATCAGTTAACACAAATTTGGCAGGAAGTTAGTTTCATTGCTTCTCTTAACCCCACCTGACTTAGGTCACTGGTTTAGCAGAAAATTAGGGACCATTCTGCCACCGTCAAATTTTGTAACTATCATAATCTAGGCTATCCACCGATACTTCTAAGGGATCATCTTCTTTTCGACTATGGAACATGAGAGGACAGTACGAAATAGTAACTGCAGTATAGCTGACTCTTTTATACAGTCAGGTGGGAGTATCAGCGAGTACACATTTCTTTTAAAAAATGTTTACGGCCATTTTGAGTTATGAGCATGCTATCACGTGAAGATTGTCAAAATCGGCAAATCTTCCCATATGAAATCGTTCAGTTTGTATCGACAGGTACACATGAAATTTAACAATACTCTGCGGTTAGTCTATGATATATTTTTGTTTGTTGAAGGATGCCCGAGTAGCAAAAAATGCCAGGTCATGATTGCAGCCATGAAGGAATACGCGGCAAAAACCTGCATCCGATTTAAAGAGTGGACCGGTGAAAAGAATTACGTGCGCATTTTTGAGTGCAGCAAGATAGTGGGGTTCGATTTTACTTACACACCTAACTGACATTGTTGCAACTCTTATATCTGGCCTACCTGCACAATCCGATCTTATGATGAGCATGACTGAATTTATCTCGAAATTTTTAATTGGCATCTCAATTACAGCAAAAATTAAACCCTTGCAAGCCCTTTCCCTTCGCTTCCCACTCCCTTATTCCAAATGTTCCACTCTATTAGACTGTATAAGGATTAAGCGAACTCAGATTGCGACGCCATTTTTTATTCTTTCACGAAAAAAGCAACGAGCAGTTTCCATTGAAATTTTTTAGGGAGCTCCTCCATTTATTTAAAAAAAAAAATACGCAGAATTGCAAGGCAATTTGAGAAGTGGATCGAATTTAGAAAAAAAGAACCAGCGCGATTAAATGTTGCTTTTTATAATTATCTGAAAAATCTCTCAGAATAGCAAGTATTTTTTGCTCTCCACCAAAAACTTGTTAATTTTAAAGAAAAATAATTGTGTAAATCCTAATATGATACATGTATTGAGTATTTTTAAAAGGGAAGACGATAAGTTGCGAGATTTTGAATACACTGTGGTCAGGCTGGTTCCTATTTTCTAAATGCGATCCAAGTGTTTCTTTGAGAAAATAAAACAGAATTCGAGACATTCACGTTGCAATGAATATACACAATTTTTGCATTTAACCATCGATTGGCATCATTTGGATAATGGTGCGATTGCATGTGGTCATGTTCATCTAACCATGGCAAAAAGGAGCAAAGACCGTGAATGATACATATCGACGCGGTGTAAGTCGGCAATCTCATATCTCGTTTTCCGTATCTGGAAACCTTCGCCTCTATGATATATTTTTAAAGGACAACAAATTGACATCATTCCTTGATTTTTTTGCAGAATTTTCTTCGCCCAGAGAAGAAAAATCACGACAGTTTTAAGGAATTGCCGTTGGTACACGGACTTTATATCCACTTTTTTACGTCCACAGACTTTTTGTCTACAATTTTTACGTCCACAGTTCTAAAGCCCACACTATTGTTAAGTCCATTACTTAAACGTCCACTAAGTTAAGTCCACAAATGTAAAGTCCACTAAAATCAAATTTAAGCGTCATATTTTAGTCCGTGTTTAAAATTATATTGACAATATCGAAATGAGAAAATTAAGAGAGAATGAGGTGTTGTTATCGCAACTCATATTTTAAATGAAATGTTAATTTCTTCTTTTGATTCATCTTTTCAAATTGTCTTTGGTAAATATTTGGTTTCATTTCTATCCTTGATATTTCCGATATAAAATATGCCTTAAATGTACATTCTTCTTTTTAATGAAATTGATTACTTCATTTTAAAAACATTTACATTTTTAAAACGTGGTAACTATTTGTAAAACCTTTTCCAAGCAATGGAATCGATATGAATCTCAATGAGCCGTAGTTGCGATGAAAGAAACTATACAAAAATTAATAAAAGAGGAAAAAAACTAAGAAGCATGCAAATTTTTGTTTTTAACTTATTTGTACATCGACCTTCTTGAGTCAAATACGTCCAATTTTGAGCGTTTAGTTGCGCTTACACCACGCTGCAGCACAGTAAAAGCCCAAAACATAAAAGAATAAATTTGAATGCTTTGGAAATCATTAAATTTGGCACGGAACCACTATTATATTTACAAAAAACACATTATATTTTCCAGTAGTACATATTTCTTTTTCATCAGTTTAAAAGGGAATAATCAATGCAGAGAGTGCAAACATTTCAAAATCATGAGTTGAAAAACGCTGACTCCGCGAGTTTAAATATTAGAGCCTAACACAGAGCGAAGCGGCGCGCGGCGGCGTGTTAGCAGCGCAGAACGCGCACTGGCGCCTACAAACCTAACGGGATACTTCACGCATTGCGCAACGCGTGAAGTATCCCGTTGGGTTTGTAGGCGCCTGTGCGCGTGTCTCGCTGGTTGCCTGCCGCGCCGCAAAGCTTTAAGCAACTATTTCGCGTCAGAGGCGTTGCACAGTATCCTAAAAGATTGAAGGCGCACGAAATAACTAGTCAAAGAGGACTTTCAATTTTGACTGCATCTGTTACTGAAAAATTTTTAATTTGGCATTGGGGCGTTTCCTAGGCTCCCGCTTTGGTTTTCATCTTATCATATCCGTACACTGTACACATGAACATATGTTTTTATCTGCTCTTAGAGTCTGTTCTCTTTCCTGACTTGATTCATGAATGAAATGTTTTTAAGAATGAAGGTAGTAGTAGTATGCATTTATTTTTGAGGTGGCTCCTGTCATTTAAATGATAAGAAAAAAATGTGGACATGACATGTCCACAATTCGGACAATTTTGGACATATTCATAGTTGGACATTAAATCATGTGGACTTAATAAAGACTGAACTTGACGTTTAGTGGACATAAATAGCGGTGGACATTTATTTAATGGACGAAAGGTAGGTGGACATAAAGTCCTGGAAGCTTGCCGTTGAATAGCTCTCCGTTTAAAAAATAAAGTATGACAGGAGGTCTGACGTCGCAAACCGAGTTATGTGATTGCCGACTTACTTACACCGTCGATATCCTAGCTAGAAGTGCTCGGGTGAAAATATCACGGCATACATGGATGTTGCAACTTTTTTTCTCTTATAATCCAGTAAGTCCGATTTTGGCCCTATGCGCTGAATTTTGATCACAACGTCTTTAATTTTCAGCGGCGGTTCAGCCCATGTGGGAATGATAGGCGGCCAGCAAAATTTACGAATTGCGCCTAAATTTTGGTTTAAAGGTACATGTATGCATGAGCTGGGACACACGCTAGGTCTCGACGACGAAGTAACGCGACCCGATCGAGACAATTACATCGAGATTATTTGGGAAAACGTTCATCCGGTAAGATACAATTTAACTTGAAAAAAAAACTGTATATTTCGTTGCAGGATTTTAAAGTTTTGTTCTCCTGATTAATTTAGCAAGAGAAAATAATGGGGAATTTCGAGGAAAATCTGGGCAATGCGCCGCAGACCGTGCCACCACACATCGGCTAAAATCACAAAATTCAAGTCGACATTTTTACAGTGTAATCAATCACAAACTATGGCAGATGCAGATATATTAAAAAATAGATAACAGTCACTGATATTTCGAAATTTTCATTAGAAGTGTACCAATAGAAACTCTTTGCATAATCCTCGTTCTCTGTTTACAGGACAAGCTGTGGCCTTTCACAAAAACTGATAGGGATCGCGTAAATCTATTGGGACAGCCGTATGATTTCGACTCTATAATGAATTACGACATGGTTGCCTTCTCCAAGGTAACAGACCTTATGAATTTCATTTCGCAATAAGGAACTGCAATTCATGGCTCATACATAAAATCACTTATTTGTATAGGGAAACTAATGGCACATGTGTTGTTTCTAAAACAATCCGGACATTTCAGTTCCTTATTGCAAAATGTGTTCNTTCAGTTCGGTATGATACCTTGCCCATAAAGGTGATCTAAAAGCGTCCTCCGAGTGTTATTTCTTTCCATACCACCTTTAGCTTTTACCTTTAGCCTTTAGCTTGGCGTTACAGCTCCCGCAGTAATAGTGTGTGTTTTGCAGATCTCGTTAAAAACAGGGGCCTGCGAGAAATTTCACTATAATTCACGGCGTATCTTTTTGTGTTATATTTTAGGAGAACGATGTGTCAAGTACGTAAATATGCATTTGTGAGCGGAATCTCTTTCTTAGTGATGAAAAACGAATAAAATCTGGCACTGATAAACTAAAATTCTACTAAATATATATAATGGTGTAATGGTGGTGGTATATTTTGTGCTCGGCACTCGAAGGCTTGACAAACAGGGCCATGCCCTAGTAGTTAGTAGAAGAAGAAGAAGAAGAAGAAGAAGAAGAAGAAGATATATAATTGTATTAAATTTCAAAATGCCTTCATTTGTAAAAACTGCCGTGTGGTTGCGTCTTGGTCCCACAGACAGTAGTAAAAGTAACCCGCAAAAAATGTGAAATTAAACTTTTTCTAAAAATGAAAGTTGTGCGTAAAGAAACTCGTATTCAAGGTCTGAAGAAAGACATTTTCGCAGACAATTTAAGAGTTGAGAGGTTAAAAGTATCTCCTTTTTGATCTACTTTACAACCTTCGTTTTCAAGTCTTCGTTCTTCTCCTCTTCATTGTTTGAAATAATTACATGATACTATTTTTGAGGCAGTGCATTCACGTAAACTTCTAATGCATCAACCATGTGATGACATACTCTGCGAATATTAACTTGCAGGATCAAAGTCAATTTGATACTATCAGAGCTAAAAATGGACAAAAGATGAGCAGTTGCCATTTTAAAAACGAAATTAGCGTTGGCGATGTCAAGAAGCTTCAGGAGCTTTATAGATGTAAAGGTAAGTTAAATTCGTGGCTTCCAAATCAGCTGGGAGCAAGAATAATAAGTTAAGGAGTAATGATAATAAAAGCTGTAAGAGACCCAATCTATTCCAATACTGAGTACTGATACAAGTTATTGAGTCTGAATGACTTTCAGACTCGGGTTTTGGCTGAATTTTAAAGTTCATGGTGAAATTCAAATTATGCCGTGCTTAGGAAAAACGCCGTATGAGCCTAGATGCTGCCAAGTTTCTTCCGATTGAAGCCGAAATCACTGGGAGATTTTTGAATATTTTTCCAAAATTTTCAAACAATTTTGTACGCAATTTACCCTAAAATATCTAAAAATTTCAAGGCAAAATGTGCATGAATGTCATCAAAAATACATATTTTATCAAAGAACATTTGGAAACTCTTGAATGTTGATACGCCATTCATCCTAAGCACGGCAGAATTGATGCGCGCGGTTATCAAGAGGGATTTACCACAGCTGTTTTTCCTATGGGCACCGAAAAAATTACTTTCGGACGTCAACACTGGAAATTTGCGAAAGACGCCTATAAGGTAAGCAAAGTTTTCAGCGGTCTATACCTAAATATATACTCGGTAAATAATACCCAGTGTGAAAAACACCTTGTGGTTTAGTCTTTTCTATGTTTGTCGCATATGCGACGCGCACCGTGGTTTACGTGCAACGTATAAGGTATCCTGCGGTCGTGTAAGGCGCCAACTATGGGCCTCGCGCCGTGCGCCGCGCGCCAGTCCCGAGCCGACGCGATTATTCAAACTTGCAGCGTTAGCGGTTTTCAACTTATGAGTTTGAAGATTTTGCAGTTTGTTGGAATTATTGTCTCTTCAACTAATAAAACATTACATGAAACTCAACTAATTTTCTTCTCACCATTTACATATTATTATAAATAATCCTAAATAAAAGGATGCAAATGAAACGACTTTTACGTGTAGGCTCCCTCGTTGCTCAGCGATTTAATGCCGTGATCATTTGGACTTTATTTTGCTATTAGCCGTTCACTTACTTTCAGCGTAAAATAATTCCAAATTGTTGTGTTGCGTTCAACAAATCCTGACATTTTTCATTTATTCTCGTTTCATAATTTCGGTCGCAGTCATGTTTTAAAGGTCGCAACACTCGCTTCTTTTTAGCGTCATAAGAATTATTGGACGAAATTTTTATGGGCGATCTGGATTTCATACAGAAACTTAAAGCTTCTAAAAAATAAACAGGCGAGCAACACGCCCTTTATAATGAGAAGTGCATGTACTAGTATGTAAAAAATATGATAAAATGAAGAAAGTACGAAATAGAAAATGACCGTTAAATAATTTGCAGATGAATCTATCCTTTTTCCAGGTGTGCAACAAAAACCTTGCTTTCCAGTTGATATTGTCTGTCATTTCAACCAAAATAAATGTGGATTCAAAGAAGTCGCTCATTGGATATGGGTTTTTCGAACAGGTATTGAGTTTTTGAAGATAATTTAAATTTTTCAGTAAAATACTTCTTATGGCGAAGCGGATGATATCTAGAACCAACAGGCTTTTGAAAATGTTCATTAATTTGATCTGCGAAACTCCCTGAGAGGCTGTGGATGGACAAGGTATTGTGGTGAGAGCGCTGTGAAAGCGGCACTCATGTGTGCATATGTGAGGTTTCAGAAAGTCCCACGGCTTCCTTGCGAAGTAAATTTTGGTAAACAATACGTACAAATTTTGTTCCAGTATGAACATGACGGTTACAACATTTTGTGGTATATAGTTAGATCTATAAAACACACACACACACAAATAAAAAATTATGACCCGTAGCATTTTGAACGGTCAAATTATTTCTTGTGAGACCAGCAAGTTGCTTTTGTTATGTTTATTCGATCTAGATTTTGATTATTTAATGCCATGCTCTCTCCGCAAACATTTCGACTCACAGCGACCGTGGCTGGATGTACCTCGTACCATATCAGCACCACAAAGCCAAAAGGTACCTGGTTCCATTTAAGTCATTTCAAGATATTGGGATATGACCGGGCGTTGGCCACATTAATTCTAGTGTAAATCTCAATTTTTAGAACTCCGTAGCTCACAATTGGCGTAAGAGAGGGCCACTAGATTTTCTACACTCACGGAACCGCGTTAATGGAGACTTCGAAAACGCCGTTAACTCGATTTTTCTAAAAATTTGAGATAGGTACCTTCGGCTTTGGGGCACTGATATTTGTATTAGCTGTGGGAGTAGGTTAATCAGCATGTAAGTTTTACCAGACACAATGTCCATATCCAAAATGCTAGGACAGCGCATTATTTTGCCAGGTGCGTTCCTTATTCAGGCCACTGATTTTTCAGATCCAGAACTCGAAACTGTTGGGTATCTGGAATGCAAGCTGGATGTTACGGTTTCCCTTGAAGACTATATAAGGAGCATCAATTTTCATGGGTTGAGCCCTCGCGATTCTAAGCGCGGACCGAACGGATGCATAAAGTTCATGTACCAATTTGTAGGATATCGTCACGGACATTTGTCTCTGGAGGTCAGTGGTTCAATACTCAAAGTAGTGAAGAAAACAAAGACATCCATCTGGTGCGACACCAAAAAACAAGTCCAATATGTTCCCTACGACTAAACGATTGGTATATTTGTCACTTTAAAAACGCAAATCAGTTCCGAGGGTTGAAATAGGATGAAAATAAAATATGTCTCACTTTACTGATTTGACTTTTTCCTTCAAAAATTGCTCGTTTTATTTTTTTAACAGTGCGTTTGGTTTACCTCTCTGCCATCGTTTCACTATGTTTCACCGTCAGCAATATCTTATAAGTATCCCAGTTATTGATGACCAAATTACTGAAAAGTGAGCAGCAGATAACTTTTAGTTCCTTGTAAGCAATGGTGACTCTTGAAAGTTGGCAGCATTGTTTTTCCTCTATTTAAATGCATGTAAAACAATCGATTCTTGATGAGGCAGCTTGCTTCACCTAAAATCGATATTTTAATTGGATTTAAAAGGTGGGAAAATAGTGTTGCCAGCATGTAATGCAACGTTCCGGCAAAATTGATAAATATGCTTATACGTTTGTTCTTTACATGTTATTTTATGTACATTACCCGATTGGAAATGACTGTTTAATGAGTCTGTTCAGTGACTTTTTACTCGTGCATTTTTTTAAAAGTGAAGAGTGCATTTATTGGTAGTTCACAGATATCTACCGCAATTTTCATAAAGTATACCAATCGGTCCAACCCTCCGAAAAAACAAGTTAAAAGTTGTGAATTTCGAGCTCCCATTGAAACCGTACTGCCGAAAAAGTTAAAATGGTGCCGGGGGAGGGGGAGTGGGTTATTGTTAACTTCCATTTTGTATTCTCATCGAGCGATGTTTGTACTTTTCTTTTCTGTGTTGATCAGGTACTACGAATAGGGTTGGAATCCACTTTTGATTTTGTGGATGCTCCACCGAAAGATGCCATCAGCATTTGGTCGACAACCGTAAAAGCTCGATCAACAAAATGGGTTCGTGTCTCTTTCCCTGTCAACGTATCAACGCCGTTCGCGGTAAGATTTCAACAAATTTTATTTTGCATTTTTTTCCTCTGCGAGAAAATTTGGAAATATTAATAGGATATACAATTTTAATGTTAAGACGTGAGCAATACACCGAAAAATCAAAATCAGCGAACATTGTAATGCAATGTCTGAAGGTAGTAGCACTAAATATATTGGAGTTTGGATTGTTGTTATCAATTGTTACCATCAATGAAATATGTTACCTTCTTTGAAATTTAAATTATGGCCTTTGTGATATTGATTTTGTGACCCTGACGATGAAGCGTTCGCTTCGAAAAGCTTCGGTATAAAATTGTTAATAAAATGTAAGTGTTTTTTAAAACATTTTTGCATTTTTTCTAGCACTCGGCTACAATCCAAACTTTCACACCGAAAAAGTAAAATGCGACTTTTGACACTCTAACGTAAATTCAAGGAGAAAATGAGAGCCGTAATCGAACTGCATTTATAATAAGGAGCTGTACCATTTTTGGCTCATTTTAGAAACAACATATCAACTTTGCTAGGATTGTGCATACATTCAATTGTTAAGTTTGTAGAGACCTGTATGCTCCGTTCTGAAATTTGCCTAAAATTTTCTTTCTATTGTTCTGAATATTTTAACTGAGAAATTTACAAAGTGTGTGATATTGGATGGTTGTAAAACGAATTAAGAGCCGCACAATCTTAGCGACGTTGACGTTTTTATAATGCTGTTAGGGTGGAGAGGTCCTCCTATGATCCATTAGTTGCCTGATGCAGTTCAGTACTTTTATGATTGAGCCGGAAGCATTACTTCCTTATTGCAAAGTGTAGTCAAATTTTAATAATGTACCGCGTGGTACGTGAAGCGCAGAAAAAACATTGGATTAATAAAAATTCTAATAAACAATGCCTGAGGGAAAATTCTCGTTGAGTCAATGGGAAATGCTCTCGTTACTCGTAATTCTGGTTATTTCAAAGAGACATCCTGTCGCTTTAAAGAAATCATCGATTCTCTGACTTAAGGATGTATCGCAATTTTCAAGTGAGCCCTGTTTTACGTACAAGTCCATGCTCTTTGGGGCTCATGCGGAAATCGAGTTACGCCTTTACCTCAAAAAAGCGATGAATTATCCAGCTAACTCGAAAAGATTTCTCGTCCGGGAATTATAAAATGAAAAAAAAAAATGTATCATTGTTAGTGTATGCTTTTTAAAAGAATGAGGTAAAACAAGTCATTTCGAATTGACTGACAGCCTCCGCAAAATTACTCTCTCTGCTGCTACCAAAATTTTCAGCTCTCATCAACGCATGACACAGAGTTAATTTCACGGAGAACTAACTTGCAAACGAAGAAAAATGCACTGACAGAATTTCGAATTTTATACACTTTCATTTGAAGGACTTCCATTGAGAATAACTGGTCATCCGAGCTACTTTTTCTTATAATGTGGTTTCAATTTTTCAGCTTCATTTCAAATTCAAACTCTTGGACGGAACAGAAAGAGGCTCGGTAAAAGTGGATGATTTCGAGGTGAGGTACACCGCCTGTGACCACCCATCGCACGCTACACCACCGGATAAATCAAAAATTGATTTGCTTAAATCTTTGCCGAACAAAGCAATCAAGTCAATGCGACCACCCTCCCTAAAGCTCTCCTCTTCAAAACGTCGTCGTGCTGCGAGCGCCTCTTCAGATGGGTCAAAAGTCGGCTGGCTTAGATCTTGGTCTACCAAATTATCCAGACTCAGAACATTTTCATCCTTTGGATCCTTTAGATCTTCTTTTGAATCTCCCTCATCAAACAGTTTCAGTATATCAACACCGGATTCTTCGAAGTTCTCAACCGAAAGTTGAAAAAATTCAGATTCAAAATCTCTCACTCCTTTCAATATATCAGACAATTTATTCACCAACTATGGAAGGACAAAACAAATTGTACAGGAATTTTAAAGAGCCTCATGCAAAAAAGGCAGGGCCTCGCTCTAACTGCTTGCATTTTTAGTACAAAGATATTCTTACAACAAAGCCCTATATTCTTGGAAGTTTCAAGTCCCAAAAAATGACATCCGCGGAATAACTTTTGCATCAATTACGTTGTAGCACGAGTGATTGACCTGCAATCTGTGCTAAAAGTCGTTAAACAATGTGAACTTTCATTTTATGTATAATAGTCAATTTTTTGAAAACAAAACAATTTTTCATTAAATCAAGAATCCTGTTTTTATTAAAAAAAAAAAAAAAAAAAAAAAAAAAAAAAAAAAAAAAACTCTGTTCCAAAGGTTACTCGTCTTAGCCCGTATCCATCCATATATTATATTTTTCAGGAAACAGGCTGGTTTAGAAGTTAAAAGCATTTTATGTGCACTGGAAAAAACACATTAGATCTAGAGTCCAGACTCTTGAAAACATCGACAAGAAAAAAAAACTTGATTCAATCGGATTTTTGCTTGAATCAAAACGAAATCCGCTTAAATTAAGAAGCTTGGTTCTTGATTTAAGCCAGATTTTGACTGAATCAAGAGTACTTTTTCTTGTCGATGTTTTTAAGAGTCTGGGCTCTAGATCCAATGTGTTTTTTTTTCCAATGTGGGTTTTGTAATGTGCGCTACCGATCACAACCCGCCATAGTCGCCCTTGGCATCCTCAATGCATAAACTTGACTCACTGGCGCTTCGGAACCTTTCAGTCTCGAATAACTTATTCGGAAGGTTATTTTCAATCATAAATTTTTTTAATCGCTATATCCTGTTTTTATCCATAACTTCTGGCCAGCTGTAAGTTTTACAAACCACCCAGAAAAAAACGTATAGAAAAACAAATGGCTTACATTTTGCAATAAGAAACCACTATCCTGGTCCATTTTAGAAACAATATACATGCCGTCAGTTTCCCTACACAGATATGTGCTTTTATGGGAGAACCAGAGATAGTGGTTCCTTTTTGCAAAATGTAATCCATATTCTCATGATGACCAAGTGATTTATGATCTAAGAAGTTTGAATTGATTCAAATTGAAGTAATAAAAATACAAGAATAACATATGATGTCACAGAAAGGAAGAAAGTGAAGAACTAAAATGTGGGGAAAATATCACATTCGCACCTATAAAAAGGCAGGGGATTTGATGAATTACTCTGAAGTGGCATATATATATTTGACGCTGAGTCTGAAAATTACATTCGTTTTTCTATTTTATCAAACATTTTCCCGAACGACGATATTTTCCGGGAAAACGGGATTTTCCGAGAAAAATTCAGTTTTCTGGGTGCCAATAAGTGCGTCGGAAGGATGAACTAAGGTCAATGTTGGGCTAAACAATTCAAAGTACACGGCAATTGCGTGCATGCGCTCCTCTGAATAGGTGTTTCTTTGCAGATCCGAAAGGTTATAACATAGGACCACAAAACACTGGTTTTGCGTGGTGGAACGTAGCACCGCTGGATACAACTACTGCAACTTCCAATTAAGTAAAATTGTGTATGCAAAATATGAAGGAGAATCTCTTTTCGGCTGATTCAAAGACTTTAACGCTGGAGTAGAACAGTTGGAAGGTGCGAGACGCGCGATACAACTATTACGACTTCTAAATAGGTAAAATTGCATATTCATAAAATGAAAGAGGGTCTTTTTTCGGCAGACTCAGAGACTTTAACGCAGGAGTAGAACAGTTGGAAGGGGCGATACACGTGATACAACTCTTTCGATCTCCAAGTAAATAAAATTGCGTATCCACGAAATGAAGGAGAATCTCTTTTCGGCTGACTTAGAGACTTTAACGCAGGAGTAGAACAGTTGGAAGGGGCGAGACGCGCGATACAACTATTTCGACTTCTAAGTAAATAAAATTGCGTATCCACAAAATGAAGGAAAACTCCATTAGGAAATATTCCAGGAGCAACAGAAAATCTGGAAGACTCGTTAACAGCAAATCAAAGGGCATTCCTACCTTTATTTTCGAACTGATGTATAAAAAGTTTGCATGAAACGAATTTTAAATCAAAATTTGGAAAAAAAAACAAACAATTTATTTGTCTCCAACGAGTCAATGTGTATCGATATATCGAGGATAGATAAGTATAATCGATATATCGATGTTAGGTGCACTCATTTTCGTTTGCATGCCATTTTTCAAAGATCCAATTCTATGAACGTGCGTCCATCATTGACACGCGTCCAAAAAAAGATTTTACCTACATGCTTTGATCGTGAAACCATCTAACGCACTGCACACCGCTCTTAAGTGATGGTACTTGACGTAATATTGCGGCACGCTCGGAACAAGCTCTAATTAATTGCGTGGTTTCTCTTCGTACGAGACGAGAAAGGATGTGACGAGAAAACGTCAAAAAAGAAAAAACCGCAAATCAAAAAAAAAAGGCACGGGTAACTACACAAAAGAATTCTGGAAAAAGTGGATGCTTCCCAGCTCCAGGTTTTTCCATTCCTTCATGGGTGCTCCACTAAAGTAGTGCAGAAAAACTGTGTCATGCAAGCCAAGGCAGTTCGATTTATATTTCCACTAATCTTTTATTATATGTATTTCTTTGACCCGGTTGTGCTTGGCGCTGCAAAATCAGGTAACGATACCATTTTCAACCTCTCATCATCATCCTTATTCAAGTATTTTTACTTCATTATGTGTAATACAAGGAAGGGAACGTATTTTTTGTTATCCGTGTTCAGTTACGATTTCAGAGAGGGTTTGATTCGTAAAAAACCAACTTGTTTGAGAGAAATTTGAAAGTAAATTTGTTTTATGGAACTACTAGCAACTAGAGTACCTGTGTAGGGAGAGTATGGACAGATCTGAAACTCCGAAAGTCCATCAGACCTTCATCGATGCCTCCGCGAATAAAGTTAGGGCCCAAAAGGGCAGCCAACCTATGAATTTCGAATGTCCAGAGCGATTTACAAATACAATTGTTACGAACCGTCGTTTAGAAAGCATGCAATTGGCTTACTTTTTGCATAAATTTACTTATTTTTGCGAAAGAACGCTCATTCATGTACATTCTTAGCCATCTTGGTTAGAATTGAAATCTGTGGGCTGGCAGTGAAATTTTGTGTGTTAGAAGTTGCTCAGAAGGGTGGCTGCACTTTTGGGTCCTAAGCCCTCCATGAACCGATCTGTCCATACTCTCCCCATACAGGTACTCTACTAGGTACTCTACTAGCAACGAACTCGCGCCCCAATCGAAATCCATGGTCGTCGCTGATGCATCGGTAGATCTCCCTAGTAGAAGGAGACGCATACTCTCCTTGTGATCGATTTACCTTTTCCATGAAAGCGAAAAGCCTGTGTCATACTATCAAAGCTAACCATCAAACTATCAAGGTCAGGAGTTGTGATTGGCCTATTCGATGACCTGAACCTATCACAGCGCTTGACCTTGACATTTTGATGGAATATTTTGAAAGTGTGACACAGACTTATACACGTTTCTAGTGCACACAGCATGTCCTTATAGTGGTACGAACAGAACTGTTAATTTCAAAGCTCTTGCTCATGAGAATTTGGACATTTAAATTATTATAAAGGAAAACTCTTTATTTCCACCGTATGCTCATATATTAGTAAGATTGACACTTTTCCTAACATTCTAAGGGTTTGTATTATTTTTTTTAAAATACATTTTTGTGTTTTCTTAGCTTTGATTCTCTCCATAAAAGTACATCGCACATAGATGGCTATAGCGTGAGGCACCAAGTAGCTCCATTGCAGCATTTCAAAATCTCTGTTCCTTCTCTTTTTCGAAGGGGAACAAGTCAACTTAATATCTTGAAATTTTATACAGAATTTTCTACGAACAAAGAAGAACAATTAAGGAAGTTTTCCGGAAATTACGCTGACTAGTTTTCCAAAGAAAAATGGAGTATGACTGAAAGTCTACGACGTCGTAAATGGAGATATATGGTCTCGCACTGTGGCCATCGATATTTTACTTTCATCCCGATGCCCCCTCTCCCACCACTAACAAAATGTTTCTTGAATATGTTCAATGCTCACGAAGTCAATGGGTAGAGCTCTTCTGCGCAAAAAATTATTTGACTGACACTTTTTCACTTTTCCGATCATTTCAAGATTTTTAGCAAAACACTGCTTTCTTTTGAGACCATCGGTTGAGGAGACTTCAGTATGAGAAAATTAAATTTACTCTTGGCTTCCTGAATTTTGCAATGACCGGAGAAGGTGTAAGAATATTTGAAAACAATTTATAGCTGTCGTAAAGTAAAGTCGCTCCCAATTTGTAGTGAAAAATGATCACCTTACATTCAATGTATTGTTCCCATAACGCGTCGGAAATGTTCTCAAAAGAGGCAAATTTTGTATTTGAAGTATTGGTTGCATATTGAAAGAAGATATGATTTTTCCGAGGTGTGCTTTTTTAATGAGATCCATGTTCTCTCCTGTATCGAAAGGATCTCTTAATGGAATTTACCGCACTCTTTTGACTCCTTGCATGAAAGTGCTAGGCGCAGGAACAGCTCAATATTCAAAAATATATTTGATATATCATACCATATGAGAATACAAGCTCATTTGCGGTTAATATACTTTTCGTGTGGGGTCGATACATTTTTGATCAAAATGTCTCCCCGTGGGGTTGAGGAAATTCTTTCTTATCTAATTTACGATATGTGACCGTCTACAGAAAAAGGAATCTTAGTTCTCAAAATTTTTAACAAAATTTGGTACCAGAGTAGAAAGGAGTGTTTTACCGACAGATTCTATTTCATGCAGTCAACGAGCAATTTGGAAAGAAACACGCTTATAAAAATTTCCTGCCAAACCGGAGCTATGGTGGTTTAAAAACAATGCAAAATGTAGTTCCAAGAAAAAGTCGGAATCGCTGGATTATCATGTAACTTTGTAGCCTCTCTTGGGAAAAAATGGATCAAAGCACTCTCAACTTATTCTCAAAGACAATACTCAGAGATTCCTGTTAGAATCCCAAAATCCAATTTTTGGAATCCCATCAAAAAAAATCGCTCAACCGAAAAGCATGCATTTGTCGTAGGCAGTCGGAAATTTGTAAGCGATATGCGTATTAACTCGTCAAATTGCCATAATTTAAAACGAAATAGTAAATATTTCATTGATATAAAACTTTAGAAGCACAACCACGAAGCTCAATTTTAGAGCGCCTTCAATACTCAATGATACCATTTGCTTTGCAAGA